ACAGACAGACAGACAGACAGACAGACAGACATACAGTCGGACAGACGGACAGGTGGTTCATCGCGGTGGGTAGCCCGGGAGCAGCGCAAGGATGCGCAGGAAAATCTTGAGATAGACGATAACGTGTGTTAAAAAGCCGTTGAACTCACGATTTCGTGACGGATGCTGGGTGTTTCTGCTCCGGAGGACCTGTTGCAGGGCAGCGTACAGGTCGAGCATCAGTTGCTCCAGCTGCTGTCCCTGGGCCTCCGCTTCGTCGTTGGACGGTAAAACGAACGGAATCGCCATTTCTCGATGCCTCGTGGCAGGTGCACCGAGTCTCTTTGCTGCTCTCTTTTCGTCCGCACTGTAATCGAAGCAATGTCCGTGGATCAAGCACTACCACTTTTTCTATCGGCCTCGATTTTCTATTCTCGATCCGATCCGCTTCTCTCTGTTCCTTTGCACGCACGGAACCGTCGACTCGAGACGATTCGAGAGCAAAGGATGGAGCACGCGTGCGAATTTCCCGGTTCGACGCGGAAGGTATTTTCGCGACGACACACGTGACTCGGAGCTGGAACGGCGCACGCTCGATGTTCGTCGCCGCGGTTACGAAGCTCGCTCTCTATCGTCGCCGCCGATTGTCCGTAGAGAAAACGCACGTGGCCAGCGTGGAACCGAACCGCGCCAACCAGTCGACGCGAGAATTTCGACGCGCGGATATACGACGATCGGTCGGTGGAACGAGTGTACGCGGCACACGATCGTTGACTCTATCCGCGCGGTCAGACCTCTGATCGTTTCTCTTCGACGCGTGCCTCTCAATCACGACGTCTGAAACGTCTGTAAGGTGGATCCTCGAATGGATCACTTTCCATGGGTGGGATATTGTTCGGACTGCGATCGACGATCGAACTCCGTTAAACGGTGGAAATGCACTGGAATTAACGGAGAGGGAGATAGACACGGTGGCGCGCGATCGTTCGGTTCGACGATCTTCAGCGAGAACACCGAGATGACAGTTCGAAAACGTCCCGTGGGACGATGGCACAAAGTTCAATGTCCTCTCCGGTCGAAAGTACGTACGACACACGATGCACTGAGAGTCTACTGGCAAAAGCGTCGATTCGCTTTCCTCTTACACAGAGCACAAACGGTATATAGATCGACGCGAGAGGCAATAAAGCAGGGAAACGACGTCGTTCTGTCCTTTCTCTCTTCGTCCTTTCGTTTCGTCCGTTTCTCCGTTCTTTCGATTCCCACGCACGCACACGGGTCGCTGGTATAACACGTTGCGTCTCGCGACTGTCCTCTTTGGCGCGACTATCACACGTGTGAACGTAGCAAAAGTGCAAGAGAGAAAGTAAAGCGACACGAGAACTCTCGACTGAGCTTAGGTAACGAGAAACACGTCTACACTCCTCGAGGTCTGGCGTGGTAATGATTCTGTGCTTTCGTTTCAGCCACTCGGCCCGCACGTTCTGCCGCGCGGCGGCAACCGACTTCCCCCACTCGGCTCGCCTCGCGCGGCCGGTTGCCGCGGCGGTGGGGGAGCGATGCGCGCGCATCCGGACTCGTACGACGCGAGGAAAGGGAGAAAAGAACAGCCGCTAGTAGGGTCGAAGAATGTGTGCGCGTTTTGCGAATGTGTTGTCGTGTGCTTGCGCGTGGTTCGTAGCGTTGTAAATTTACCGGTTAGGGTCAAGTAGGGTAAAAAGATGGAAGGAAAATCAAAACTTTCGAAACCGAGCGTGGTGGCATCGTGTCCCGTACAGCACGCCTCGACCAAACTCATCGGATGCATCGACGCCATACAGCTGGTAACGAAACGGTGGGGAAGCGGTGCGGAGAGAAGAATTCGCACGCGTCGTTCCTTCAGGTTTGCGATCCTTCTTAACCTCCTCGTCTTTCTTTTATTCCTTTATCCCGGTTTGCATGTTAATCGTAAGGTAAAAAGTATATTCTCTCAAGGATAAGAGATTTTCCTTTCGAGCATCCAACGCGCGAAACGCTCGCGAAGGCATAGCGAAGCAAAGCGTGTAGCATGTAGCAATGAGATCTCGGCAGAGGAGAGAGAGTGAGAGGGAACCCACACAAACGAGCGGCAAGCTTGTATGCACTTCGGAGCGGTTCGTAGAGGCGCGTATGACACGACGGAGCGACACCCGAGCGTAACTGCGTAGTTTCTGCGAGCAACTTCACGGGGGTAGTTGAAGGAGTTTCGCCGATACGACCATTCTCGGCAAGCGAAGTTATAGACTAGGAAAAGTTATCGAGACCCGTTTGTATTCTCGCCATCGGGTAGCTCGAATGATATCGGTCGTATCGTTTGCCAAATTAGACGCTTCGTCGTGTCTCTTTTTTCCGAGTAATCGTTCGATTTCTCCGCCGGAACCGAGTCGCGCGATAAATATGAAACGTGCATTACGAATAAATCAAACGTTCGGCGGTGTTTTAATTTCCCGATAATTTGCGGAAATCATCCGACGGATGATATTCATGGGATCGTGATACTTGGCTAAGTGACAATTTTTTATGCGGCCAATGAATGGGTAAACAGGAGGAGAAACAAGAATACAATGTGCTCCTACTGTGAACGCTGATTCACAATGCATACGATGCATCCAGCGCTACTAGCTGTACAATGAAGTCACATAAATAAGTATCGGCATATTACTCTGTACGAGGACAATGGGATTAAAAAAAACAAAACGAAAAAAGGGTGGGGGGTAGGTTCGAATACCCATATAACGGAATGCTTTACGAGATCAAATCGTATATTTTCGTATTCAAACTGTATCGCTTTATTTCTACCATATCGCGTGGTACAATGCTAAACGTGTAACGACTATTAACTGCTCCTTAATTCGTCGCAAAAAATGAGATCGAGGGGACTGGAAAAAAAAAAGAAACATAAAGATCAACTTTTCTTCATAAAGATCAACTTGGCCGCAGTGCCACGGTAGCTCGCTTGTGTACCGAATAATCATTTTTCGCCATTCGACTTGCAAATCCTCGCGTCCTCGCGAGACAAAGAGTCGCACGAAAGCGAGGAACACGCGAGGTATACGTACACGCATTATCCTAAGTACGATGCACCGATTCCAGCACGATCCGAGCGAGCGAGTCACTCGAATCGACCAACGATCGAGGACTATCTGCATTCACCGGGGCAGGTTGACGACAAGGCACAAGAGGAGAATAGATTAATGGCGGGAACGGCGCCGAGAGACATTGTCATTGGATATCAGACGAGAGGGAGGAAGAGAGGAGGCGAAAGAGAGAGAGAGAGAGAGAGAGAGTTAAAGGCCAGGTGAATCCTGCGTGTATCGGGGATGGCGTTACAGAGAGATGACATTACCGCCGCGGACGATAGAAACTGGAGTCGACGAGGAGAGACGCGGCGCGGCCCATCCCGATGTAGAATGCCACATCGATATCGACAGATCGATCCTTAATCCAGAGTCGGTAGGCAGCAATTTCACGCGTGCAACAGCCTAGGCAGATGCACTTGCAGCGCCGTTAATCAAATTCGCATGCGCGCACGTAGAAAGATATTAATCGACTGGATCGGCGGAACGTCGATCCGGAACGCGAGCACAAACTACTTTTCCACGTCGCGGACCGTCCATTCGTCTGTCCGTCCGTTCGCTGATTTATGACTCGCGCGCAGATTAGATTTTATTGGGGTCTTAATTAGCTGGTAATGCCGGGACGCGGCTACCGAGTTACCTTCGCAACGCGATTGCCATCGTTCCTTCCGTTCGGGCGACGCGTCCACGCCCTGCAACGAAGAACCCCCGGTTTCCGATCGGGAGCTCCGTTCGCCGATAAGAATTGTAATAATCGAGAGTCGAGATAGCGATTGGTATACGAAGCAATAGAGGTACTAACGTTCTGGTTTCAGACGATCTTCTTCTCTTCTCTCCTCGGGCAGCGATTTCTCATGGAAGATCGGATACCGTTCCACGTTCCGAATCTGTTGTTTAAATATAAAGAGAACGAGAGAGAGAGATTAATTGTTTAGCGTAATTGAGAAACAGGTTAAGGTGTCGTCGGCTTAGGTGTCGCTGACTTACGCGAAACTAGGCGATAAGACTGCTATGTTCTATACACTTGGATGTCTACTAACGCGTCACGTCGCTCACCACGGTTTTATAAGGAAGTATAATATCTTATCAATTATCATCTTATCGTTGCAATAAGAATCTTTGTCGATCGCTCGTCTTATCGGAATAAATAAAATCGGTATTTGAAGAAATAAACATTTTTTCGAACATCGAATTCGTCACCTCAGGTTCGCCCTGTACCGAACTTAGCTCCGGAGCTTAGGAAGCTTCCCCCACTCCGTCACCGTCATCTGGACACAAAGTCAGTTTTCGTTTGTTTCTTGGGAGATGTCAGTGACAGTACTCGGTGGTGGGAAATGACGTTAGCTCTTTCTAACCTATCCCCGTCTCTTACAATTGACACCGGTGGTGGGGAATGGCGTGATCTCTTTCTAACCTATCCCTCTCCCTTACAATTGACCACACTGGTGGGGAACTGTGTTCCTTTCTTTCTAACCTATCCCTGTCCCTCAAGATTGACCGCGATGGTGGGGGACTAAACGGTGCGAGGGACCCCTTTCGTGAACAGGCCCCCTTTAGCTTCTTTCCCCGATTAACGTGCTTTCCACACCTGATCTTCTTTGCTCTGTCTATCGAACAGTGTAATACTTCGAATCAAGCTCCACGATCGTCGCGATACTCGTTTTATCGCACGATTATACAACTCTCTCGTCGCGGAATTATTTCGGATTTCGACGCAAAGTCCGTCCCAGATTTTAGCAATGATTCCGTGGAATGGTTCCGAGGATCATTTTCACCCTCGTTCCATCGATCCGATTCGGCAAAGTCCGAAGGAGTCGTAATCGTCCACCGAGTCGCGCGATGCGCGCCACGGCCGCCATGTTTGTTCCGACGACCTCCTCGGCGATTCGCATCGTCTAACTACCCCTCACGGTGATCAACGTTAACGACCCACGAGTTTAGCGGGTCGGAAGTGGCTCTCTGTCCCCGGTGGCCCGGCCACGGGGTCTTTCGTTTTATTTCCACGGAAAGCATTGAATCGGTTCCTGGCCGGTAGCGGCGAGATTTAAAACCGGTAGCACCGTATGCGCCGACCGGATTGTATATTTTTAGAACGACCGGCGTCCTCGCGTGGGCGGACACGCTGGTCACCGGTCCAGGAACCTGCACCGCGTTGTTTCCAGCGGGCACGATGATCCCCTTTTGTCGGCGGATCATGCTCGTCGCGGATTTCTC